AGGAAACTTCAAGGAAATAAAGCACAGTCCCTTACAGCAAGAGGACAGAGTCAGCCATTGTCTACATGAGGGTATTAACCTTTGAAGCCCAGTGGAGAGCTACACTCAAGGAAAAATTCATAAGGATTCAATGAAGGGAGAAAAGGACTTCCAGGGCCAAGAGTTAAGAGGTACCCCTTTGCCATACATTTTCTCTAAATATATTCTTCATTACATTTGTTCTTTAATTTCCCCAAGGACTTGGCGTGAATAAGGGGGGAGTGCACCACTGGTTTGGGGGGGGGATGCTTTGTATCAACTGTTCTTACTAGTCTGCCTTAGTAATATCTTTTATAAAAGGTAATTGAGATTACTGGCTTTTAATTAATAGGGAGCACATTGGTGTGGGCTCCTAAGTAACAGTACTAGAAACCTCGTTTCCCCTCAGAACTCAGATGACTAGTAATCAGCCACTCTATAGGGACCCAGCCTGCCAACTCAAGTGGGATTTGATAATACAGTACCCCTGGAGTGGATGCTATGTCAAAGCACACTTGTCTCCTGTGTTTTTGTTTCAAAGGTTTTACCCAGCTCTGCTCTTTTCATCATGAATATTTTTTTCCCCTGTAGGATAATCAGGTTTATAGGCTGCTATTCTTATAAACCTTTTTATTTTGCCTTTTGGTATACTGTATTCCAATATTTCTTTTCCTGTTAAATCATTGCCATGTGTGATTCTGGTTTGTTTGTTTGGTACTTGAATTTTTTTTTTTTGAATTTTGGACTGCTGGCAGTTTTTCTTCCACTGAAAGGCTCTGGATGTGGGCCATGAGATTCCTGGATGTCATACAGTTTAGGAGTTTCTTTCAGGTGACTGGTAGAATCCTACTACTTTGCTTTCTGGTTATAATAGACCTGAGCAGTATTATTTTATGATATCTTGAAATATGGCAACTAAGTTTTTGTTTGGTCATGGTTTTCAGGAAATCTAGTGGTTCTTAAATTCTCTCTCAACTAATTTTCCAGTGTATGTGTATACACGTATATACATACATTTTATACATATACATACACACACACATACATTAGATATTCCAATTTTTCAATCTTTTGACTTTGTCCTCCTAATTGTTTTCATCTCATTTGCCACTGAGTTTCTATTTGCTGTATTCTGTTTCCCTGGGAGTTCACTGTTTGGTTCACATTTTCCATTTTCAGGTCTAAGCCATTTGTTTTCATTCCAATTTTTTCCTCAAGGGCTCTAATTTTTTTTTTAATCCTTTGCCTCATTTCTACCATCTATTCTTGGAAACCTTGTAGCTAAGCCATTCTTTTTTTCTGGGTTTCTACCTGTATTTTTTTGTGGAATTTTATTTTACTTATTGGGCTTCTCTTAAACCATAGTATTACATCAGTGTATTAGGTTTGTTTTTGTTTCTTTTGTGGGGGGAGGTTGGGGACGGGGGATTCTGTTTGCTCATGCCTCCAGCCTCAGCTCCTGACTGTGACTTTGTACCCAGGTCAGTCAGATTCTGTCGCTTTGATCTCACTGCTTCTGCAGTCTGGATGGTGTTGCCACTGCTCTGCCCCAGTTGGGATAGCTGATTCCTGGTCCCCCTCCCTGCTGTCTTCCACAGCCTTAGCAGGGGAACAGGGAGCTAGGCCCGGAGCTAGGCCCAGAGCTAGGACAAGGCAACACTCCCCTTTGCTTCAGTCTCTGGCTTCTGCTTCCAGTTCCTGCTGGCCCCAACACTGATCCTGGCCTTGGCCCTATCTTTATTTTCTCCTGGAATCACCAGGTAGAAGCTAGCTTTGTTCTCTGTTGCAACTCTGATGGGCTCCAACTGTATATTAGAGATCATGATTTTGCCTTTCCCTGGAGAGTTCCTGGGCTCCTCAGACTGGATTTCTTCTCTGCTCATCTCCTAAGAGGGCTTTGTCTCCTATTCCAGCTCCAGCAGGCTACTGGCTATTAGACTAGTGTCAGTCCTAATGGAGGGCCCTTAGCTATGTCCAATCACTGCCAGGTTCCTCGGCCCCTTCACCACACTAAGAGACATTTCCACTCCTGTTGGGAGCCAGCTTTATTCTCTGCTGGAACTCCAACAGTTTGGGGCTGAGATCTCACAGTCTAATGGCCCTTTGTACTGGAGATTCTGTTGCCTTTGGCATACTCCTTGCCTCTTTTGTAATTACTTTGGTCCCTTGTCTGGTCAAGAATTCATCTCCTACCTTAAAAACTCAAACACTTTAGGATAAACTTTAGCATCATTATCATCATGCATCCCTCAGTACACAATGAAAAAAAGCTTCATAAGAATCAGCTATTTCCCAATGCTTGGGTAATTCTTGGCCTCTCTGCATGGTTAACAGCTAGGTGGCACAGTGGATAGAGTGCTAAGCCTGGGGTCAGGAAGATTCATCTTCCTGTGTACAAATCCAGCCTCAGACACTTACCAGCTGTGTGACCCTGAGCAAGTCACTTAACTCCATTTGTCTTAGTTTCCTCATCTATAGAATGAACTGGAGAAGGAAATGTCAAACCACTCCAGGATCTTTGCCAAGAAAACCCTAAATGGGGTCACGAAGAGTCAGACACGATTGAACAACATCAAACAACTGCACTGTAGTGAAAGGAGAGGGGAGAGTTTGTAAAGAAAGCAGCAAAGAGCTTTAGTCTGTGAACTGATTCAGAGGACCCTAAAAGCCCCTTATTGATTCTCCTCCTTTTCCATAGCACCCACTTTAAATCTAGCAACAAACACTAAGCCCACCACATGAAACTCAAATACTAGAAAACTAGTCTAAACTAAAAGGCTAGAAAAGGGAGAGGGTTATAGGGACTTTCACACTGAATGCCACAGTTTATTTCATCATGTCTGCTTTGTGGCTTCCATACCTTTCTTCTTATTTTAAGTAAGGACACATTTGCTTTTTAGAATTTTGTGATTACAAGTGTTATCTAGCTTTTGTGGAATGTAAACACGAACCAGTATTGTTTGCTATAGAATATATACCCCTATCCACATTTATATTCATAATTGGGACCTTTTACCCTGTTAGGATTTCTGGGTATAGGGAGTTCATTTTCTTCCTCAATAAAATCTGAGTCAGTACTCAAGTGTAGAATCACAGAGGAAAAAAGTTATAAAAGTACTCCGCTAGAGGCCTTTGATCCTTGCTGGAAACAACCCAAGTCCATTCTCCTGGAATTTACCATGTGATTTAGAGGTAACTCAATGGGAGGAGCCTCCGGCCCATATAATTAACAGGCTACTGTCCTGTACACCCGAGCAGTTTTAATTGTTTCTCACTTTCTTTTGCTTTTACCCTAAAACCAGCTTCAGTCTCCCTCCTTTTCAGCTCTTATTATATGTCATAAAGAAATGTCCACCTTCCCAAACAGCCTCATAGCAACTGGGATCATGGATGAGATCTTCCCCATCCCCCCTCATTAGCTGAATTTTGAATAAAACTGGGAGACATTCTAATCTTATATTCTATATTCTAAATGTTGATTGATTGATTGATTATTCCCCTCAACCAATACTATGCTCAAGGAACCCAAAACATAGATGTAGAATGGAGATTTAACAAAATATCTTGACCCTCATCAGTCATCATCCTGGGATACAACACTCCCTATCCCACACACCCCCAAAAAAAAGAAAAGAAAGGAGCATCTGCAACACATGTCAGAGATGGATTTTTTTTTTTGAGACTGGGTCTCCCTATCTTGTCCAGGCAGGATGTGCAGTGACCTCATAGTCTGATCCCACTGCTGATTTATTCCATTTCTGATCTGGGTAGGGCCCCTTGTTAGGCAATCTGCTCCTGGGGGGGCAGATGCCCGACTTAGTGTGGACACCTGATCGGCTTAGTCCACTGCAGCTCAGAACTCCTGGGCTCAAGTGATCAACCAGCCTTACCCTTATACAAGCCTTACTTTCTCTGGGAGTGGGATTACAGGTATGTACCTTCCCACTTGACTAACTTTTCTTATATGGAAAAAGGAAAGCTGGAAAGCCATCTTGGGACCAGCTTCATACCATACCAGCTCCCCAGTCTGGATGCATATTTGGAGGACCATAGCATACCAGTCTGGACTCCAGTCAGCTGCAAAGAATATCCTTTAATAAATCTTTTTTAGACATGTAAGTCATATGTGAGCTCTGTCCTTTTCCCTGCAGTGTTACCAAGTAATCACTCACCTGGAGAGGTCTTTGCTGACAAATCTAAGCACTCACACTCAGTTTTCAGCTGCTGTCAGCAGACTTAATTTGGTCCCTAGAATTTTTTCTTTCAAAGTTAAAAGCAACCTCATAATTGAAAAGCTTTAGGACCACTGGACTAGGTAATCACTAAGGACTTGTCCATCTAGCAGTCTATAATTCTATGGTCTTTTGGGGACTTGTGGTTAATTTATTAGGAAAGCAAATACTTCAGTGTGGAAACTTCTTCCACTAGATACAGATAGCAACTCTTCTGTAAATTATAGTTTTAGAGGATAGCCTAGGGAACTGAAAGGTTGTGACTTGCCCAGGGACACATATGTGTAATGGACCAGACTTAAAACCAAGTCTTGGGCAGCTAGGTCTTGATAGAGCATGGGCCCTGGAGTCAGGAGGACCTGAGTTCAAATCTGGCTTCAGACACTTACTAGCTATGGGACCCTGGGCAAGTCACTTAACCCCCATGACTCCCCCCAACAAAAAAACCCCCAACAAAACAAACCAAAAAACAAGTCTTACTAACTTCAAGGTTGGTCTTCCATCCCCTAAGCCTTGCTAACACTCATTCTATGACTGAAACAATTTTTAAATAAAATAAGGCTACTGAAAGTGCCTTCGGTCATTAAATCAATCATTCAACACACATTTTTAAAATAACTATATCCAATTCACTGTGCTGGGTGGAGATGGGGGTGGGGAGAGGTACAAAGAAAAAAATAAGGCATTAACAACAATCTAGCTTTTAACCACAGTAGCTTCTTTTGCAGTTGTAGGAAATATATTCTCTTCCTTTGAACTAATTTCTTCTAAGTTAGCAAAATGAGAACTGAGAAGTCAGGAAACCTCATCATTTTCTGTGAATCTGTAAGTAAACAGGAAGAGACAGGAGGCTGAATTAGCTATATAATCTAACGTTTTAGCTGCATACTCACATTTGAAATTTTTTGTTACCTAGTATGAAATAGTTCATAGATGTAGAATGGGAAGAGACCACAGACATCATCTTATCCAACATTCCTTATTTTACAGGTTAGGAAACTGTACCTGTAAAATTAAGTACCTGGCCCAAGTTCACAACCCTAGAAGAAACAGAGCCAGGATCTGAAGTCAGGTACTGACTTCACATCCAGTGCTTTCCCCACTCCCCCTCCCTATTTAAAATACACACTTCAGATGTTTAATAAAACTGGCCAAAAATATCTACATCTCCGTTTTGTTAAAATACTGTCAAAGAAAAACATCAAAAATATTTCAGCTTATAGTCTCAAATAAGACAATGTAAACAGCCTCTGTTTAACAAACTTAGGCTCGATATGAAAAGACCTTTCCAACAATTAGAGCTGACTAAAAAATGGAGAGAGTGATCATAAAGATAATGGACAGCCACTGGTCAAGAATTGTGCTTTGAGTAGGGACTGGACTAAATGACCACTAAAGTCCTTCCAACCCCAAAATTCCATGCACCGGCCCTGGATTCAGGAAGACCTGAGTTCTCAAATCTGAGTTCAGACACTTGACACTTCCTAGCTGTGTGACCCTAGGCAAGTCACTTCACCCCACTGCCTCGCGGAGAAAAAAAAAAGAATAGTCCCTCCCCCTCCCCCACCCCCCAGTTCACTAATTCAGATATTGGAGAGCACAGAAAACAGTTCAATGTAGTACAAACAGATCAATATGTCAACCTTTGCATCACCTTACAAGATACTAGATTTAAAGTTGACAGGAACCCTAGAGGCACCTCTTCTCTTGCCCCTGGTCACAATGATTACGTGTCAGAGGCAGCATTTGAACTACGGTCCTCGGAGTCCAAATCCGGCGCTCTTTCCAGTAATGTGACATTCTGGAACAAGAGCCAGTGGGCTATTGCTGTATTGTGTTGTGTGTCGTATCGCTGTGCTATGTGTTGTTTTTGTTTTGGGAAGGTGTGGTGGAAGGAAAAAGGACCGGGCGAGATGCAGGGGAAAACTGGCGAAAATGAATAAGTAAAGTGATCCCTGAGCGTCTGAAAACATACCAGCCGTTCGCGAAACTGACGCGAAGCCTCCCGCGCAGGCACTTAATAACTCCCCAGCGCTTCCCGGGAAATTCACAATCACGTGCCAGGCCCTTTCCGCCTCCTTCTGGGACTTCCCCATCGGGGTTCGCTATTTTGATTGGTCTCGTCTCTGGCCCCACCCTCGGCTCTTAGAGTCACGAGTTTTCCCAGGGCCCGCCCCCGCTTCCCTGCCGATTGGGCCTCGGCTCGGAGCAACGAGGCGGCCGATTGGCAGACCCTCCTTCTCCCCCTACTCCCTTCACCTTGTAGGGGCGGGGTTTCCGCTTCCGCCCCTCGCCCCCCACTACCACCAGCACCGCTACCACTATAGTGGCCGCTGACCTCCGTCCCTGACTGCCTTCTCTCCCCCGGTCTTGCTCCCTGCCCGTCCGCTCCGGCCCTCTGCGCCATGGCTGAGGTAGACCCGTTTGGTGCGGCCGCCGCCCCGGCTCCTGCCCCGGGAGGTCCCGCAGTGGGTAACGGGGTGGCGAGCGGCGGCAGCAGCGAGGAAGATCCGGCCGCGGCCTTCCTAGCCCAGCAGGAGAGCGAGATCGCGGGTATCGAGAACGACGAGGGCTTCAGCATCCTTGACAGCGGCAGTGTGCCCGCCTCCCTGCAAGGGGAGCCCCCCGGGGGCCCGGGTAAGAGCCGGGGCCGGCCCGCCTAAGGAGGGGGCTGCCTGTCCCGGCCGGGTTTCAACCCCTTTCGCCTCCCCGTGCTCCAGGCGGGCGGGGGAAGGGAGGGGAGCGATCGGGGAGCGCCCGTCCCGGGCCGGGCCGAGGCTGGTACGGGCGAGGAGAGGAGAGAAGGCCGGGGCACGAGAAACCGAGGGAGGCAGGCATACAAACCCATGCCAGCCTGGCATAGCCCTCGCAGGGGAGGAGGTTCCTGCCCCGTGCTAACTAAGGAGAATTTCGTGGTGAGCTGGCCACAGGGTTTTGAGGAAGGTGGCATTGTGTTAGCAGGAAATGACAAAAATAGGTTGGGCTGAACCGGGGTGTAGCTGAGAGATGAGGTTAATATCAAGGGGTTGGAGGGGATGTTTAGTGCATTTGGAGCCGTGAAACCCGAGTTTCATAGAGCTAGAAAGGACAATGGTGATTTTGTCCATTTTCCCTCACGAGGGAATTAAAATCCAGAGAAGCTGTGACCTGCTCAAAGTTATGCAGCTGGTTACTAGAGGAGCCAGGACGAAGAAATAAAGGCTTTTGACTCGGAGTCCAGTGCTACTTCTATTCTAATTTTTGAATGATCAGTCGAAAAGACAATTTCATCTGTTCACCAAGGGAAGAGACTAGGCAGGAGGATATTATGTTGTTGAGCTTAAGTAGCCTGTTAGCACCCAGGATGTGAAAAGAACAAGGAAGATTGCCTCCAGCATTTTTGGTAGGTCTTCTTAGGCAAATTGTATGACAAGATGTGTTCAGGAAGGTTGTGTAGAGGAGTTTAAAACAGCATCTTGGAAAATGCAGTTTTTCAAGGAACCCAGTTAATTTCCATAAACATTCAGTGCCTACTTTGTGAAAAGCACTGCACAGGTAGTGATAACAAAATTTTACCTTCATGGATCTCATAGTCCAATAAGTCCAATAAGAAACTTACGGGGATAAACTACAATAGGGAAGTTCTAGAGAAGTCTAAAAATGTTTTGAGGATTGGGGATTCCTGACACCCACGTTCTCAACCTGGGAGCCATCTGATTTTTTTTCTTACCCTTTTTCTCATCTGGTTTTCAGATCCTATCTATTTTAGCTCCTTAACATTTCTTCACCATTCTCTCTTCGATCATTGATAACCCATCACATTTACTTAGACTGTTGCAATAGCTATCTACTTGGAACCCCTGTATCCAACCTCTGCTTTCTGCACAGAGCTTCAGACATAGGGAAAGACAGTGCAACAAACATTTTAACAAGCATTTGCTATCTGCCAAGCGCTCTTCTAAGCACTGAAGATACAAATATACGCAAAAAGACAGTCATTGTTCTCAAAGATCTTACATTTTAATGGGAGAAGACAATACAAAAGGGTAGAGGAAAGTGAACAGAAACACAGCTGAGTTTGAGTATGATATCAAAGACATCAGAGTCGGAAGCAAATCCAGGAGGGAGATGGAAGTGTGGCCAGCCTGGGTTCATTGCCAAAATTGGAGTCCTAGGAAGAACTCACTCATGAAAGTAGGATAACAAAGCTGTGTGCTAGGTGCTGAGATCAAAAGTAGAAATTGACAGTTGAGAAACTTGCTTTCCACTGGGGATTGAAAATTGTAAGCAAATAAATAGAAAGTACTGTAATTTAAATGAGACCCACTGATGCTGAACCTTGAAGGAAAATTAGCCTCTGAGAGAAAGGAATGGAAAGTACATCCCATGCATAGGGGACTGTTTGTGAAAATGCATGGAGGCAGGAGATGAGTTGAGTTCAGGAAAGAGCTAGTAGATCAGTTTGGAATATAAAATGCATTAAGTAGAAAAGTATGAAACATGACTGGAAAAGTAGATTAGAACAAGATTGTAGAGAGCCTTAAATATAAAAATGAGGAGTTTGTGTTTTACCTTAGATGCAAGGAAGAACTGAACGATTTTGAGCAGAAGGAGTTAATGTGATCAAAGACCTGTTTCTTTGGAAAACTTACTTGGAGGATTGATTGGAGTGCCCAGACCCTGAAAGCAGAACAGCCGTCTTTTCAAGGAAGTTTGTCTACCAGAAGTTCCCAGTACCTATGACATCATAGTTCCATTTCCCCTCCCCCTACTTCCCCCAATGCAAAAGGTGAGGATCTCAGTGTTAGTAGAGGGGAGGGAGCAGATGCAACCTGACAACTGACTGAATGGGATTAAGGAGCCAGAGTACTTGAGGATGAGTCTGAGGTTTAAGTCCTGGACTAATGGGAAAACTGTGATACATTCAAAAGAAATAGGGAAGTTAAGAATTCTATTTTGGACATCTAGCAGATTATTAATTAACAATGTATGCTAGGCATTCAGGATATTAAGGGCAGATACATAGATTTGGGAGTCACTTGCACAGAAATTATGTTTGAACCTTTAGAAGCTGATGACACTTCCAGGGGATGGAATATAGAGACAGAAGAGGGGCCACGACAAAGCCCTGGGGAGCATTCATGCTGAGAAGAGTGGTTTTAGATGATGATCCAGCAAAGGATACCAAGGATTAGTTGGCTAAGTAGGCAGAGAACCAGGAGAGGGCAGTGGAAGCTAAGAGAAGGAGGGGTTGACTGTTCTGGTCTACAGTAAGGTCAAGGAGCATGAGGACTGATAAAAGGCTATCAAATTTAGCAGTTAAGTGATGGTTGTTAATTTTTGGAGTATAGTTGTAGAGTTAGCTTTCAGAGAGTAGGTGTGTGGTGAGGTTGGAAGCCATATTATAATGGGTTGAAAAGTTAATGAATGACTTGACCTCTCCCAAAGATACTTATTAAGTCTGTGTGTTATCAGATTAGGGTGCTGGGGATTTGATGACAAAAAATGAAACAATCCTTGCCCTTGAGGAGCTTAAATTATACCAGGGGAGACATACTGTAATATATACAAAATGAATATGCAGTGAATTTTAGAGGGGTAGGTGACTGGGGGAACTCAAAGGATTCATGTAGAATAGGGATTCTTAACTATTTTTGCACCCTTTTGGTGAAATTTATGGACCTCTTCTCAATTATGTTTTTAAGAGCATAAAATAAAACACAGAAGATTACGAAGGAGAACAATTAAATTGAAATACAATTATCACTATTTTAAAAAACAAGTTAACATACCCCAGGTTAATAATCTGTGCTGTTAAAAGTGTTACTTGAACAGATTTTGAAAGAAAAGGCTTTGTGAGGAGCAGAGGGTTCTGTGCTGAGACTTGGTTAATACTCATCATTGGTGTTCACTGAAGAAGTAGATGGGCAACTAGGTGTCAAAGTGGATAGAGTTCTGGGCCTGGACTCAAGAAAACTCATCTTCCTGAGTTCAGATCTGACCTCAGACACTTACTAGCTTATGTGAGCCTGGGCAAGTCACTTAACACTATTTGCTTCAGTTTCCTCATCTGTAAAATGAACTGGAGAAGGAAATGGCAAACCACTCCAGTTTCTTTACTAAGAAAACCCCAAATGGGGTTATGAAGAGTTGGACACAACTGAAAAATGCCTGAACAGAAGAGCTAGATAAGGATTATTCCTTTTCCCAACAGGAAAAAAAGGCAGGAAATGACCGGGAAGGTTTGTTATCTTATAGGAGGAGGTTAGTTTTAGGAAGTAGGTTGTCAACAGAATTAAAGGAGGTTGATGAAAAATTTTCAGCTAGCAACAATTAGAGTTGAGTGATAGAAGATACAGTGAGATAGCTGGTGGTTAAAGAGGGAGTAAGTGCCAAATTCTAGGACACTTGAGCAACGTGATGGAGGACTAAACCTCTGCAAAACAGAAAATGTGTCCTAAAGATAACTTCCACTGTCTCCGTGACCTAGAACACCCAGGAACTAAAAATAGGTTTTAAAAAAAAAAAAACCTCCTGCCCAAACTCATGAACTAGCTGATGGTCATTGACCCTTAATTCACTCAGCACCCCTTCGCTACCTCTCACCCTTCATCCATCTATGCTAGCAGTAAGTGCCAAGATGAGGAAATGTGGGTTATTGATTTGAGAAGCCTTTGATTTGAAGGAAGGCCTTCTTTCACCATATAAAGGATGCTTAGTTAGGATTATTGTGCTGGAAGGGACCTCAGAAGTCTTCATTCCAGCATAGGAAACTAAGGCTCAGAAAGACTAAAGCAAGAAGGAATAGACCTTGGAGTCAAACCTGTGACTCCTGATCCAGTGCTTTGGGCTACCCCAAGTAATGGTGAAGGAAAATTGTGAAGGCTAGGGAGTTGTGAAAAGACAGAGGAGATGATGTCTGTCACTTGCAGAACTTTAACTGTGTTTATTGGTTGCCTTGTTTGTTGAGTCTCAGAGCTGATCTCTGAACAGTTTCCTATTATGGTGTCTGGTGATTAGTGTGTGTTGTTAGAACACAATGCTTTTAAGCCCAGGGTTCCAGACTGTTTCTGTGAGGTCCCGAGCACCTCTACCTTGACAAGCTTTCCCAAATGTGTTCTTGTCTAATTTTAAGAGGGA